ATACGCAACTTATCCGCCTGTTTGTGCTCTCATTTGATCTTTTCAGACAAAAAGGACCATCAGGATAACGCATGGCTGTGCCCGCGTCTAATCGCACAGAATATTTCATTGCTCCGGAAATAATAGGATCAGAATGCAGTAATCAAACCGGGGGCCTGTGCCATCTGGGTTTCGCCTGTGGCATCCGCCGGCATCAGTGGGTCATGTGCAAGGAAGGGTTTCATAAAACGGAGCTTACGTGATCTTTCTGACTAGACGATAGTATTTACGGTTTGCGTTCTGTCCGATTGCCAAGAATGTCTGGTTTTCAGGTCACATCGAACACGTTAGAACGGGAGCATGAGCATGCCATACAGTCGTAACGCCTTGCTCTTGTTGAGGCTTTACGTCGCTTTCCCCGCTAACTGGCATAGAGTCCAGTTTTCAAATGCGCGCAGCTATGATAAATAATAAGAATAATAATACCGATTTCGACAACGGCATAGGTGATTGGGGCGAGAATTTCCAATCATTCAAGGAAACTGCGTTAAATGTGGATGACGCCTCACAGTGGCTTAGGAAGTGTGGATCCCGTTTGTAGAGGATCAAGAGGGATTCGTTCTAGGTGGAGAGGTTATCTAGAGTTGGGAGAAACGAATAGATGACCTTCTTCCCCTTAGCAAGGACACGAGGACGACGATGATGATGATGATTTCTTAGGAAATTTTTAACCCTTGTTTCTTGTGTTTTTTTTTGCTGGAAATTATAAAAACCATATAGGTCGCGGAAAAAAGAGAAACCTGTTTCACTTTGTGCCACAGGTTTTTCATGTAGGAAAAGCGCTATCTAGAAACGTAATATCCTGCGCAGCATGTGAAAGAAAACTGTGAAGTCGTAATATCGGAAAATATATGACACTAAGCAATACTATCGCGCGTTATTCCGCAAGGACTCAAGCCTCCCAGAATAATATAGCCGTGATAGATAATACCTGTGAGACGGTGTGCGCCAATCTTGAATGTATTGCAGCGGTTAAATGCTATATTGATATTCATGCTAGTTCAACTGTAGTAGCTGACAGGAGATTCTATATATTGACGTGAAGAGCGGGTTCAGAGGAGTTCATGAAAAGTATTATGTCTCAGCTGAAGATAGAACTCCGGAGTTCATGCTTTTGAAGATAGCGTCTCACCCACCGCCACGCTGAAGTAGACTGTGAGGAGTCCAGCTTTCTCAGTGCCTTACACTTACATAACCAAATAGCAATGAGCTGAAGTAAATTTAAAAGATGCCATCATTACCTAAAAACGAACTGTATAGGATTTTTTTTCTAGCTTGAAATGAGTCACACTACAGGTGTCAAGGCGTTATTGACTTTGTATAATATCGCGTAACTATAATACCTAATCCAATTCTTATTACAACTAGTCTTACTTTGGTCAACTCTATCATGAGTTAAAATTGAATGAATTAGAAGTAATTCTCGTATATTTCACTAATACCTATTGGACCGTAAGCCATGCAGTAGTTAAAAATATTATGCTAAACAGTTGTTTTTAATTTGATTATACAATTTAGGGTTTCTCCATCCCTATGATCGTCTCTATGTCTAATCGAACTGGATTCTTGCTTAGGCCAAAAGGACCTAAAAACCTAATTAAGTAAAATTATCACTAATACAGTAGGAAGAAACTGTAACGTGTACGCATCCACCGACGACGAGTGCGTACTATTTCCACAGACGAAAGGCCGCCAAATTTAGCGTACACCGTCTGTGCCGTAGCAAATCTTTCGTACGTAATTAATAGTAGAGGAATCTTTGACTTTTTGAGCAAACGTTTTTCTACTGCGCTTCATCGTCGTTAATATCTGGACCGATATTCGCATTTAGAAATAATTACAGTGTGATATAAGCTTCATAATGCCTTTCGTTGTCCTATCAAGTTAGTCCATAACGCTCAACTGAACTTGGGCGTACATACTCCATGCCGTATTTAGCTTACGAACCCCCTCCAGATCCGAATGTTTGCGAGAGTAGAATCCAGCTTAGAAAGAGGCTAGACTAGAAAAGGGACAATATGGCATAGCGAGGGCGGACTCGCCGCGATCATTTGCGTTCATGTATTCACCTATAATACATCTGCGTGAACATATGGATAACAGGTTCCCTTGAGGTTTGGCCTGCACGATGATTACACTTTCATAGTGGTATGTTACGCGAACAGGGGCTTTCACTCAACATCTACTACAAAATCGTTCGTTTAGGCTAGCGAAAGGCTGAGTACAAAGTTGTTTGCGCAGAAGTGAAGTAAGCACTCGAGGTCCTCTTGAGGGCTCCTGTTTGCGATGAAGTTTTGTTTCTTTGAATAACGACTACATTAAAAGCTGTAAGTTCGCGATCCGATGTAATTCTCCGATTTATACGGTATGGATTGCAAAAGTCAATAAGTCATAATAGTAAATTTTTGTCTAGCAAAAATACCAGTTGTAAAACCGTGTGAACTGGAAGCTGGTACACAAGTGCGTCTCTGTCTGCTGTAGGTAAAAACTGTGTCGGGTAAATTGCGGTTTGATAAGCCACACGTTTGTGTTCCATTGCGGAAGCGCGCGCGCGGCCTTGGACCTGAGAGGCCTTACAGTGCAATAAAAAATTCAACAAAACAAATAAACCTAGGCTATTTATTATTGATGTCTACTTGACATGTTGAAGGTATTCTGCTGTAGAACTACAACGTGAAGGCTGCTACACGATATGTAATCTAGCGAAATCAAGCCCAGTTCTATTTGTCCATACTTTTTCTAGCACGGATATTATCGAATCACGACTCACGCTAGTTGTGAACGATGATCGGTAGCCATTGCGACATAACTCATCTCGACGATGGCCAAAATCCTCGATCGGCTGAATGGGGCTCGCAGTTAAGCGACCGATGGCGACAGAAAATGCGGATCCAAACTATGAAATCGTGGAAATGGCAATTGTTGAACATATTTCGCATTCATTACACTAGCTAGTTAAATTATTTTCATTTCATATTTTAAATTAGCCCGCCTAGCGAATCAAATATGGCACCGTCTGCTTGATAACTTTTATATGTCAGTGGCTGCAACAGATGACGATGAGAAAATGAAAACACAATCATTTGTCTAAGACTGGTAGGTATAATGGCACGATAAGGTTACTATTCAGCTCTCAAACGTTTCTATGAAAAATATTATAGAACTGAAATTTAAATTAGATGAAAGTATTAAGCTCTTTGCCGCAGCTGTATTGATAATAGCCTTTGCTTAGTTGACACTTATATAAATCTATCAAATGCAACTGGTCTCAGCTATAAAAAAAAAAAAAAAGGAAAAAAAATACTCGATAATTGAATTTGTACATCTATTCTTTTTGTTTGAAACGACCGATCCTATAGCCTCTAGCAGGCCCGACTGAATTCACTACTGCGGGAAGGTGCCAACCAGTTGAAATAATCTTTTTACGGAAATGTTGACTATCTGATTTATTTGAATTAAGGCAGGAGCGGAAGAAACCAGCCAAAGCACAAGAACCGATTAAACTCAGGAACAAAAAAGCGTTCTCACCCCACCAAAAAAGGCTTAACACTGCTTATAGAAAGACAAGTTTGCAGCGGCTTCAGCAAGGAATACCCGCTTAGAATGGACTTTAAAGAATATATCAGTGAGTTACATATATAGGCTATACTTTGCTGTCAGTTTATATAGCTACTAATCAATAATTGTAGCAGAAAGAAGATTGTCAAGTCGAGGAGAGTCTTCAGGGCTAAAATACAGACGGCCTTTCAATGATTGCTGATGCTTGCTGCCGCTGCTATAGGGAATCGCAGGCGGAATCTAATTACAACGGCTGTGACAAAAGCAGTGAAGAAACGTTTCCCATTTCAAATAAACATGATCTACGATAAATTGTTTCTTAATTTTCCTAAAAAAAACACGTTTTTATTTCGCAAAATTAAAAAAAAAACACGAGGGCCATAAAACCCGACCTTTAGTAGTAATCCTTCGACAAGGACAACTTGGCCTAATCTATTTATTAATAACACTTAAAATCACGCTATTCTGCTAATTCACAGATAAGTATTCTGAGAAATGTTGACAAAAATATCCAACCACTTTTATCGGTCTCGCCTTGTAAGCAGATTCTGACGTCTCTAGATGCCTTTCGCCTAAACCCGTTTACTTGCCATCATGACAACTAGCCAATTTACTTATCCAAATCAGACCTTATAAATGGAAGAGGGGGCTTTCTGTTGTCAAGCGCTGTTGTTGTCATACCTGATCATCGGAGATACCGTTAATTCATGCGCGGTACGGAAAACTTAACCATTATGCTCAGCTTTCCTAAAGAGCTGCTCCAAGTTCATCTTAGAAGATACTACGTAAAGTACGCTTTGTACTTCGCTTCGTGTAGCCACGTAAAATACAGAATTTTACGTGGTTTTTAATATTATGTAAATAATAATAATGAGATGAACATAACAGGTAATGGTAAATCGTAACAAGTAATTGGAATAATGCTGCATCTATTGGTTTCCTGGTAGACCAAGCAATGTTAAAAAAAAAAAAAAAGCTTACTATGAGCTACCGCTTAGATGAGACAGTGCATCTTCATTATTCTCTGGTTATACTAATGCACACATATGGATAATATCGTAACCCAACTATATGCTATTGCAAGGTAGAATAGTATTGTTGTTATTTGGTGCACTTGAGAACATATTTTCCTCTACACACTATACAAATCAAAGGTGAAGGGAAGAAAACTCAAAATTCAATTTGTTGTTTATAACTAAGATCCTACAGGGTAAAAACGTGTACTTCGCTAGCAGAAATCTCAAGTCTAGAAAGAGGTTAGTATCGTACAGTTATTTCCTAATACGATACATTTCAATGCGATAATCCTTTGCCAACGCCCTTACAACGTCTAAGGTGATAAGAAAAAAACAAAATTTTTCTGATTATGGTTACTATTATTACGCGATCTAATTGCAAACGACCCATCTAAAACGATTCCATAAGCTTGCACTGTAAGAACACAATCTGATATTGTAGCGCCACTGGAGGAATTACGGAGATATAAATCTGTTAACAGGTTCGGCTCAGCATTTCCTGGGGAGACTTATCCGTATTATGATAAGCTGTGTCCATCCTTTGTTCGGCTATTGACAAACCCCTGAGCTGCACGCCAACGGTCTAAGTAGCTATGATGTTAGGCGAGATGGACACTCCGAGACCATACCTTCTCTTAAACGTTGTCTAGTCTGCTAAATCCATCGACGCATTTCGCAGCGTGAACCTTTCTGATAGGACCAGTCCATAAAGATTATTTCAGCGTACGGGGATCCGGGCTGAGCTCAGTCTCTTTACAGGAAAGGATCTCTTCAATTGCCATAAATCCCTTTAATGAATTTGCCCCTCCTGTAGGACGCCAACACCAACGTTTCTACGGCCACGTGCTCTCTACATTTCATCGCATAATGACGATCGATTTCAGCGCAGGTTCTTCTGTACTCTCGGAAGAACCCATGACGAAGGGGTTGAAATACCAGTCAACAACAAATGGAATTAAAAATTAGATATGGTCGATATCCTTTAATGCCTGTAGCAGCCCCCACGGCATTCGTCTCTGTCTGCTGCCGCGTGGGGAGGTACCAGGGAAATTTCCTTGAGGAGCAGGGCACGTTGGGGAGACGCCGTAATAAGGCTCAGCCATGTGAGCAGATTAGTGCGCTTCAACAACTGCAGTGATGGTACGTCGTTGTACTCACCTATGAAGTAATAGAAAGACAAAGATCGGACATCATTGCTAAGGAAAGTACGATATAACAATGTTATTCCCCCTAGAAGCAGAAAGGGTGTGACTGTGTATGTGAGAGGAGAGTAATCAAACGCACGCGAATACGAGCATGTGGTTTCAACCACATAGCAATCACATGGCGTTGTAATGTCTTCGTATCGTCGTGTGGATGAAACAGAAACAAGATTTATGTGTAAAAATAATAAATAACTGCCACGTTCCATGCATCAGCGCCCGTTTTTGAGCGTTTGCCAAAATCAAATGGGATGTAAACGAACTTAGGTAGGTCTGGGCCGTGAGTGTGGTTATGTTTATAGATGTTATAGCGGGTTAGTCTTCGTGGGTGTCTTTTCGTTGTTAGCATGGATATGAAACCGCAAAACCAAACACGGATACCGATAATAAATACATATATCGTCGATTTTTGACTAAGTTTAAAACCGAAACGTATGAGCTGAGGCTATACCATCAGCATATATATAGCATGCGCCTGTTGCCTAGCAATGGAACTGAAAAATACAAATGAATCATAAATAGAAATATATAAACTACATAGAAAAAGCGTTGGCCAAAATAAAAGCCTTACAGATAGCTGCTAGAAATCGGTACGACAAGACATGCTTAGTAAACATCCAATCATGCCATCATCGATCTAATGTAAAACAAATTAACGATTAATAACCAACTCCAATTTACAACTAGACGTATATGTAAATAGCAAAAAAGCAACATTATGCTGTGTGGTCATTTCAACGTCAGCCCAGGTCGAACTAGCCGCAGTCCAAACGTTTCAGGATCGAGTACTCGTCGTATATATATAAATAAATATCTTGCCGCAGCACGCTTGGCTATTAGGCCTCATGTGAAAGATACATTAATCCCTTTCGCTATTCAACAATCAAACGGTGAGAAAAAAACGTGGCGGAACGAACTAAGTCGAGTTGAATGACTCGCACCGTCGATCTCATGCCATAGGAAGACGACTCATCTGGAGGCGTCTGGGGGTGGTGTAACCGATCGTAATGTAAACACATTTTACGTATTATTGAGCTGGTCCACACATTGCACGAATCCTATACGTCCTTCGCGCTTTACCGGTCGCGTCTCCTTGCTCTTTCGTCTGCGGGGCGGAATATCACCATTTGGCTGAACACACGTCGAAGGAATATATTGAATCTATGGCCACCTTCGTTGTGGATGATTTCGCTAGACGTAGCCTGTTGGTTGGATGTTTGGGTCTTTGATACATCGACGCTTTTGCGTCCTGCATGCTTGTGCGTTTCCCTATCCCCTATAGATAACATCATACTAATGACAAGTAAATTCTCTACACAGATGTATATACGTCCGCCTTTACGAGGAAAACTAAAATAAATATGGGGGCCATCTATTCTCTCGAACAGTGTTTGCCACGCCCGAACAGCAATGTTACAGGGAACGCTAATGGGGGGAATGATACATGAATGTTCAAATGGGGGGGGGGGGGGGAGGGATTAATCACAAACAGATAAAAGCTCTTTATTCACCGTTTATGAAAAACTAAGAATTTTGAAGTCGCCGATAAAGCTATATTGTTCTTCATTTAAATTCAAATATTAGAAACTGATCTTCAATCGAACGATGGAAAGGAACATTCGGTCGAAGGTAGTATATTTGTAGAGGGTTTTTTGAACCAGTGCTATTGTTTACGGAGGAGCTTCGATAAAAAAATAGACTCCTTCGGCCGTAGCAAAGCGGGAACGGATTCAAATCTATGAAATCAATGAAACTGTGCCCTAGTAAATAAAGCGATTGTATACTAAGGGAAGTTCGTAACCGATTTGAGCGCGGTTTACAACTATAGAGTCATATTTGACTAGCGTGTTTGAACTAAATCACCAGGAAATGATAAAAAGAAGGTCATTAATTAACGCATGGCAAGGCTGAGTGGTCAGCAGTTAAATTTAATAAAGGAGCATCTATAATAACTGCGCACTAAATAAGCTTACTTTGAGCGAATGAAGTTCGCACTTGTGTAGGTATATCATATCGATATATTCAAGTTTGCCACCCAGTCGTTTATTCAATGAGACATAATCAAAGCTATTCACTCAGAGCAGTGAAAAACGTAGAAAGAAATTTGAAGAACGAATGTAACACCCACCCAGAGGGTGCTGTCATCGCTAATGTTAGCACATATTTGGAAAAAAAAATTCACGAGCCAGATAGAAGGGAGGCGTTCTTCAAGCGACCCGCATTTAGCATTCCTCATTAGTGGTAGCTTGGCATTTATGGTGTTCCTGAGCAAACTGAGTAAAAGATTCGACGCATTACCTCAAAATGAAGGACCATGAATCAATTAAACCCTACAATCACTTCCTCGTGATTGGTCGATCACTGTCAGAGGAAACTGTGGTGCCATGCTGGAGCGGCCTTGAAACACACCATTTTCCGCAAGCTGTCGGAGCTTCGATTAAGAAATGCTATGTAGATATTGTAATGGGGGAATACTTCGTTGTGTTCATAAACTTACGTACGGTTTTACACTGCGCGTCAACCAAAATGACGTAGTGATCAACACTGAGGATGTTTTTCCATTGCATACGACTAGATAATTCCTTCTTTTGCAAGCATTCAAAAGCAATACGTTCCATAATAGTAAGCAAATTAAATATTTTTTTTGTCCATAACAAAGTATTCCTTCCGAATTTATTTTCGAACAGAAGTTGAAAAACATCTATCGCTCGATTCTCTCTATTGCCAAACTTAGAATAGGCTTTTTTATACGATTTCAGATATAAGCAAACACCAAACTCAGAGGATACGACCTAGCCAACCTAACTCGTGTCGGATTTAGCAAGAACGCTCACTCTATACGTAGATTTGTAGCGATTATTAGCTGATTTGGTCCTCGCAAAGCACCAATTTGAGGATGATGCCCGATTCAAATATTCACCATTACGAGCGATTACGATGGCACACGATTTAATTTGCAATACGATAGCAGAACCACACGAAAGGCATCCGCCAGTTTAGCTCGGTCTGATTCGCCCACTGCTATCAGAAATCGCGTCTTTTGGCGACACGGCTAAACAGTGCCCCCACCTGCATTGTGCCGCATTGATTGAGCCTCGTATGATCCATCAGGCCAGTTCGTGAGTGAAGGGTGGCCAATGATAGCAATCGGTATTATTGTTATAACTCACCATAAAGTATAATAGAATATTGTCTGCCCCATTCATCTGCTTTTGGATTACTTACTAACGAAAGCGTCGAAAATAGTTATATCGGTGATACATGATGTTAGGGCCATTCATACGGGAAGATTCAGTCGAGAGCAGCTAAGATTTATAAGAATAAGCTTCTTCACGGTCCGGTACCCGTCGGTAAATATTATTCAGTGTTCAAAACCTGATTGAACTAAGACTCTAAAATGTGTCTAAAATTTTCAGCATGGGTAGAAGCGTCCGTGAGCCAGACCGATGGGTAGCTGGCATTATACTATGCTCGACATCAGAGCCTTTGATTAGTTTAGTGCGTGACATAGATATCGTGTCAACTCGTACTAAACAGTCTGTTTAAAACCCACGCAGAATTTTCTCACAGACAAATATGTATACATCTTAATGGAAGTATGAAGCGATCTGACATTCTGCTTAAAATTCGCTTACCATATTAATACGAACGATCGCCGAAGTATATTTGATCTCCCTGCTAATGATTGACTAACGGAACGTTTATGTTCTATCCCGGAAACAAAGAACAGCCAGGTTCTTCTACCACGAAAACTTATATACATCAATTGTTGGTCCTAATTGATTAAAGTTAAGCTATTCTAAGCTTTTGATGCTACTATTCAAGTGGGTGATTTCGGAAATTTTGAAAAAATTGAAGAGCCAAACGTAAAAAAAAATGACAATAAGAGAATACGCGCGCAAGTTTGGCTCCGATGGCCATGTAGACCGGTGGAGGGCATATGGTATAATTTTACCTTAAAGACGATTCACATGGAATTGCTGTAACGTCTCACCCATTAAACGTCACTACACTGCAGTAACTAGTCAGGAATAGACGAATATAGTTGCAGCAGTACCACTCCCTTAACTCGTGCCACCTTTATACTTTCATATACTCCAGGATGTGTCTCAGTGCGGCTATAAACTCTGAATATCAGAACCAAATCTTGATACATGATCTATAAATCTGATAAAAGGCAGATGCCTAAATCGTCTGATAGATCCATAGTTTCTCCGGTTACGCAACGTGACATGCTATGATTCTCAAAACGCATTGACACTATTAGGGTTGACAAGTAAGGCCCAGTTGTTCTTTTTTTAAATTGATCCTAAATGACATTTATAAGAAGATTTCGACTACATGAATATACATAGGATACGCCTCTGAACTGACGATTTTGCAAGCTCCCATGTCAAGTCCAGTAGACAGTTGCCGATTGCTTTTAAAATGTGTTCGTCTACCTGCACGAAGGTGGGCCAAGCGTCCTTTTAGCCAAGAAATCCGAGAATACACACACGTTTCTAATGGCAATTAGACGTAAATATATGACATGTTTGCCTGTAACATTATCAGATTTGTTTCGGATCTTATATTGTAGTGAAGACAGGGACCATTGTTTTGTTCACTTTATCATTACGCCATTAATAGCGGGATATGTCTGTCCACCAGTTGTCGTTTAGGGCATTGAATGCTCCTTGAATGTGGGCATTGAATGTGAAGAAGGCAATTGAGCGATGGGGTCTGGCTAGATGGCTAGGTGACTAGATTGCGTGATTCCAATTGCCACAAATCAATGAACCTTTTAAAAAAAAAATCAATATAGAACGCTGTATTCATTGCTTCATTTTCAGCTAGTATTCTTAGTAGCGAATGTTCCTGATGTCCACCGTATGTATTACCATTATGTTACAAGCGAACTTATTCGATACCGCCACCGAGCTCGATTACTACGCCATTTTTCCACCTGGTCGTTCTTTAGCTATAAGTAGAGACTGGACCATGCCCCATTTATAGCGACCATTTACTCTAAGCGGGTTTTTCCGCGATTGAAGTCCCGCCAAATACACCAGATGCATTTTGAACTGGCCTGAAGTCAACTCTGTATTCAAATGATAATTCTCTAACGTGTTACATATGAAACACCATTTTTGGCTGATAGAGCCCCAAAAATTTAAACTACGTTCTCATGAAAACTGGTTTCAATCGTGGTAATATGTTCTTGTCCTTTGGGTTTACACATCTAGTCATTTCCTCACCGGTCTCTAACGCTCTAGTCTCCGTTCTTGGAACGTTTGCACCATTCACATACTGCGCTTTCGCTTGAAGCCTTCTTGTCCAATGTCTTTGTTAGTCTTCCGTGACTTCCTGCAGTACTGTAGCTTTAGGAGGGACACACCACTGAGTGTTGATTTCCGAGACTAAAGTATATTTTTGATTTTGAATTCATATTAGACAACTGAGATATTTACAGACCGAATTTCGTCTGCTGGTGGCGCGTAATTAAAAAATATTCAATTCTGAAATCTATCGAATTCGCCTGTAACAGTCTAAGGTGATGCTTCGACTCTCTACCTGATCTGTGGTTGATTAGTTAGGTTCGGATCTTCGTAACTTGCTATTAGACGCGAATAACTCAAGTATAATCAAGTTAGTTATTGTGATTTTTATCATTTGTTGCTGACATTGACAATGTTGTACTCAACCATTACTGTGTATATCTCCCGTTTCTCGCTATTATTAAACGCGATGCGTCACAATTGTTTGTCTCACATGCATACTATGCATGATATAGAAATCCAATGAACATGGATGCTGCAGCGTACAAGGGTGGGAACGATTATTTGCTAGGCCTAACTATGAACAATAAGAAAAGTTTCGAACGCAACCATGAACGTGGGAGGATGCTACAGTTTAACACAGTGTATTTTCACCACAGCCCGATAACAGTCGCGAAATTTGTCCTTCATTTATTTTATCTAAGCAGTATCGTAAACATGCAGCTCAAAATAGCGCTCAGATGGCTTTAAACTCGCATTTCACAATGGATATCGTTGAACAACACGCCCTAATAAATTTAATCTCACACGTAAAGTCTATGTGAGAACCAGCCTGCATCGCTGCGGACATAATTAAAAAGCTTTTATCAGAGCGTAATACGATGCCATCCGAAGACATGACGGGTTGGCCAATTAAAGCAGTAGGACTCAACAGAGCAGGCACAGACAGGGAAAACAACATCAGAAACCTGCAAGGACCTATTACCACTTGCGCAGACGAGCTACTTAGATTGACTTTTGTTTAGAGACAACTTGTGGAAATTTGGCGTCCATTCCGAAAAATTTTGATGGATCAATACACACTGATCGGCTATATATATTTGCTAAGTAGCTTTCGACATATTCAAACACAGTACATACTGTTCCTACCCATGTAGTCTGGTCGCATCGGGATGATCGACGGTACCCCAATTTTTTTTTTCTACTTTTCATGCCTTGAGGTTCCCTGCTTCAAACCCTCCAAAAGAGCCATTTAAATGCATGCTTAGAAACGATCACCTGTGATGCACCTAAAGTAATCTATTTATAGCTGCCTATAGTATAAAGCTACACAGTCTATGATAGATTCGATTATGAACTTTGAAGTGCTAGCTCGTACCAGTCAGCACTTTCCCTTAAACCTAAAAAAACGATTTCACATGCTGCACTACCACGGTGTTCAATTGAGCGGGCAGCAACTATGAGAACGGGTATTTCCGTTTCGTTTCGCCAGCTATTCCCGCATTTCGCGACAAGTGGCTCCGTGAATATGAGCACCTCATGGTGAGCATTGCACGTGAGCTTTGATCCTTATCTCGCAGATGCGTGCATTCAGAAGGGCGTTCAGTATGAAGAGCACGAAAAGGACAGAGGAGGAAGGACGAAGGTGGCAGCCAGGACATATATTAGCAGACGAAGCTAGCAGAGTACACATACGAAACGGAGCCTTCGGTAAAACTCTGTCTGTATTTTGTGCTATGTTTCTGTTGTTCTTATCGCTATTGTCGACTTTGTTGTTATTGTCCGCGCAGGTCTTTGGCGCCTCTATTGCTGCTATATCAGCGGAGCATTTTCCGCTTAGACGCTTTTTGGGGGACCGATGTCTGTGCACGTCCCACTTTTCGAGAAAAACAAATAGGGTAGACGCTAAGAGAGAATTTTTCAAAAGGACACGGCTCGCGATGATGAATACAGGACGCAGTGAAGTATCAGGATCCGGAATCAAATGCCCTAGAAGGGCAGGTCCGCTTTCTGTTGGTATGGTTAGCTAGCGCTTACTGGATGGACGCCAGAACACTTAATGAAATCCGTCTATTCGAAGTAGTAATATTAAACTGTGGCGTGATAGAAGCAGTTATATTAGACAGTGTCGCAGCATTCGACGCGAGACATAAATCAGTCACTGAGAAGAGAAAG